TTCTTATGTTTAACTCTGGATCACCATCATAAAATAATATTGTAAATTCTGTGTCCTGATTGTAATTGTTCTCTAACCCTAACCCTCACAACCCCTGATTACAGAGGACAAAGAGTAGACTAGAAAGGATTGGGTAGGGAAAGTGGGCTAGAGAAACTTGGGTGGTAGGACAGTGTGCTGGACTCTTCCTTTGAGTCAGGAGTGGTTGAGTCAGGGGTCCAGGCCTGGATATCACAGCTCAGACTCCATTCCCTGCATTTCATGCACACTGGTCTTGCCGTGGCCTTGGGGCATGGTGGGGTGTGTGTGTGACAGACTGCCAGGAAATGGAGCATTTCTTGCTTTCTCTGGACTCGTGGCTTGCCTTAATTATGGCTGCATCCCTGGAGCCTGACTCCTGTTAGGTGGTCTTTAAATGTTACCATCTGAGCTGCTGGTGGAAGCTGGAGTATTAGGAAATGCCCAGATGCTCAGAAGCCTTGGTGAGTTTTTTGTTGCAGTGCACCTTAAATTTTGCTATGTGACAAAATCCCCTTGGGAACCTAGTTAATACCATGTTCATTCTAGAGCTACTCAGACAGGAGGTTTGGGTGGGCTTAATAGTTTGCATTTGTAGAACTACTTGAGGAAAAGAAAGGAGAGCCACTGAAGATCCCCACAGAGATAGGGCGGAAAGGAAAGGAAGGGGCAGCCTTAATGGTCACTGCCAGCAGAGTGGTGACCTCTCCAATTGAGCAACAGACTCCCAATAGTGATTAGATTATGATCACAGAAGTTGAGTTGAGAGGTCAGAGAAGGGAAACAAAAGCTTCTGACAGAAGATTAGTGGGAGAGGATTTGTCTTTCGGTCTGGGGCCTAAGTTAGAGAAGGAAGTGAAACCTGTGGAGGGTGAGGGTCCTAGTTTACAGTAGTGGATCTCTAACTTCTTGACTGCAGCCCTTGGTAAGAAATATCTACTCGGGCTGGGGATTTAGCTCAGTGGCATAAGCACCTGCCTTGCAAGCAGGCAGTCGTGAGTTCGATCCCTGGTACCGGTAAAAAGGAAAGAGACAAAAAAGAAGTATCTACTCAGCTGTAATAAATGTGTGTGTAACTAAGATTGATCGTAACTTCTTTGCAGTCTAGGCCTGTGTTTCTGTTTCTTAAAAGCAGGTGGGTCATGGCTCACATGATGTAAGTTGATCTCATGACTGAGTGGCTCACAGACCCTGCTTTGAAAACATTGCTTTAGAGCCAGTCTGGGTGTGGTGCGGAAGGTCACCCAGGGCTGTGGGTTGGCTGGACCTTGGGAGGCACCCAGTTCAGAGAGTAGCAGCAGTCTGCTCCAGGTGCACTTGGGTGGTTGCTTAAGATTGCTGGAGCAAGACCTCCGGGCTTTGAGGCTGTCATTATGTAGCGTGGATTGTGGATATTGGAGTTCTGTTAAGCAGTATTAAAGAGACTGAGGGTGGGACTAGGCCAGGGTAGCTCAGTGATGTTGAGCCTGTGTTTGAGGTGCATGAGCCCCAGGGTTTAATATCTGCTAGTGAATTCCCCCAGCGGCCAGTCTGATTGAGAAATCGAATTTCTGCCCTGGGGAATGAGGTTTCCAGTTTTGGCATCCGAGTCTACTATTCCTAGGGACAGTAGTTGACTGTCATCCTTCATAGGGATTTAGATTAGACTGTTTTGTACTGGGATCAAACTCACCACCTCGCACTTGCCAGCAGACACTTAAGCCTCTGAGCTGAACCCTTGGCCCTCATATTTCCTTTGCCAGAATAACTGCTAAAGTTTTCAAGTTCAGTGTTGACTTAGCCTGCCAAAGTAATTTATTCCCTTGATATAAACCAGCTCAGTAGCTAGGTACAGTTTTTTAAAATGTGGTCCATTTGTGTATCATTCTGTGTTTGTACTTTTTCTTGTACCATCTTTTCAGTTTTTTGAGACAGGGTCTCAACTGTGTAGCCCAGGCTGGCTTTGAATTCACAGCAACCCTCCTGTTTCAGCCTCCCAGTGCTGGAATTATAGGTATGTGCCAACACTTCTGGCCTCTCTTACCTGTTTTGTTTTAAGAGTCTCACTTTCTTTTTTCTTTTTTTTTTTTTTTTTTTTTTTTCCTTTTTAAATCGGTACCAGGGATCAAACTCACGACCGCTTGCTTGCAAGGCAGATGCTTATGCCGCTGAGCTAAATCCCTAGCCTGTATTCTCACTTTCTTTTTTGTTGACTGTTGCTTCCTGCATTTCATGAGACAACTCTTGAAGCTGTTCTCTGTTCCTCCACCCCTGCACGTAAGGTGGGCAAGTCCTACCCAGGGTAAGCACAGGACCAGTGCAGCAAATGTCTTTGGGATTTCTGCTGGCTCCCACCTCTTCATGTCATTGGGAGCTTACCCGTGTCTCATACTACACCCCTTTCTTTTGCTATTTTTAATCCAATTCTACAAAAGTTACAGAAATCTTTTTATTATCTTTTGCTTAATGCATTATTGTCTCATTAGATGTAAGAATTTTGCTATTTCAGTTTTTCAGTTTACTAATAAACAAACTTTATTCCATGTTGTCTTCATTATACAGAATAGCTTTGCTATATTTTGAGTTAAGTTTTCCTTTATGGGTGAACGTATGTGCCATGGATTCTTTTGAAAACAATCCACTTAAAATTGTGGAGTTCCTGAAACACTGTTGAATCCTGTATCATAGGCATGCCCATGGTTGAGTACTATTAGATAATGATTGAGTTATTTTAATTTTTTTTTGGTATAGTTTTAAATTTTCTGTTGAGCTGTATTTCCTACTTTATGTAGAGATTTTTTTTTTTCTAGTATCTGAATGCAGGACCATGAAGTTCATCTGTACCACATTTATTTGTTCAGAAATGCATGTATATGGTGTCAGGCACTGTGCTGGTCTTGTGGACTAGTAATGGAAAGAGTTTCAGCTAATTTAAAGCAGCAGGAAGAGAGCTGGACATGGTGACACATATCTGTAATCCCACTTGGGAGGCTGAGGCAGGAGGTTCACTGAGAATTCCTTCTGGGCAACATAGTGAGTTGAAGGCTAGCCTCAACTACCTAGTGAGACCCTGTTTTTAAAAAAGAAACAGTAAGCAGGCGTTGCGGTACACAGCTGTAATCCAGCATTTGAGAAGCTGAGACCGGAGGATCATTTCGAGTTTAACACCAGCCTGTGCTACAAAGTAAGCTCAAGGCCATCCTGTGACCTGCATAGTGAGACTCTCAAGAAAAGAAAAGATAAAAGAAAAAAGAAGTAAACAAAGAAAAAGTAGTAAGAAAAAATGAAAGAGGGTAACTGCAAGAGAGCAGGTGCCACCTTAGGTGTGGCTCTCTGTGGAGCTATCATTCGAGCCCAGACCACAGTGACAGGAGTGAGTCATATACATGGAGATCTTGAGGAAGGCCAGGACAGTGGGAACGTGGCCAGGCAGAAGGGGTATGTGGAGCCGAGGCACTGTAAGGAGTGACAGATAGGTTGGGGACAGCGGAGAGAGTTGTCCTATTGTCCAGAATCAGAAATTCAGTCTGATTTCACTGAGCATTGAGTGCTGCTGAGGAGGAAATGGGTTTGCCCACTTGTGGATTTCCTAGCTGTCTCCCAGGAGATTCTGCTTTCAGTCCAACATTTTAATGAATGAATTTCATCTTTGTGTGTGAGGGTGTTGTGGTGTGCAAGCATTTTGCAGCCTGTGAGCTGTGCCTCTCCATGGTCTGGACAAAGGGAGGTACAATAGAGACCCAGCAGGGTATAAGTCTGGCGTTACAGGACCTCTGGAGACAGACCTTAGGGACGGTGTTCCTGTAGAACTGGTGTTGCATAATGTTCTGAGGATGTGGGAAAAAAGTAGCTTAGGGGCGCCCTGAGGGAATGCTTCCTTCATCTTTCTTTCTTTTTTTTTTTTTTTTTTTTTTTTTTTTTTGTCTTTTTCGTTTTTATCGGTACCAGGGATCGAACTCACGACTGCCTGCTTGCAAGGCAGGCACTTATGCCGCTGAGCTAAATCTCCCAGCCCCTCATCTTTCTGTTAGTAAAATACCCTGGGCCTTGTCCTCATCTCTCTTCTTCACGGGGTATGCACCTTGTTCTAAAATCCTCCAATAGAAATTTTAGGAGACTTAGAGGAAAGAGAAGTTAGGGTGCTAGTTTTTTGTGGGGTTTTTTGTTGTTTTTGTTTTTGAGACAGAGTCTCACTATGTAGTTCAGGCGACCTGTCCTTGAATTCACTATGTTCCCCAGGTGGCCTTGAACTCAGAGTGATCCTCCTACCTCAGCCTCCCAAGTGTTGGGATTCCAGGTGTGTGCCAGCCGTCACACCCAGCGTTAGAGTTTGATTTGTTTTGTTTTTTGTACTAGGAATCAAATTTAGGATCTTGTACTTGCCAGGCAGACGCTGCGCCACTGAGCTGAAACCGTGACCCCAGCATTAGGGCTCTAGTTCGTGATGTGTCAGCTTTCAGGCTTGGTTGTTAACTGGTGATTTTGTGAAATCCAAAATATTTCTTCATTGTCTAGATATGTTATGCCTTTGGTACTAATTGAGGTACGGTTTGTATCCTAAGGAGCTTTTAGATAAAAGATTTGTACTAATTTGGGGTGCAGCTCTTTTTTTTGGGGGGGTGCAGCTCTTGAGAAAGAAATTATATGAAGCTCCAAGCACTATAAGAAAAATAATGATTTCACATTACATATTTACAGATTACTCTTAAAAACTGATGAAAGAGCATGCAGAACTGTTTGCCTTTGCAGAATGTCTTGTGCTTGTGGCCAGTAATATATATTAATGTCACAGAAATGTTTAATTTATAATAGCTTAATTGCTTAGAAGTGTTCTCAAATAGGACATATTAACAGAATTTATTTTGCTTCTTGAAATGTCCTCAAATGATAAAGACATGTTTTCTGAGCCAGGTACCTTTTTCATCTGTTAGAGTGGCTTTTTGTGAAGCAGATTTAATGGTTTTATAGGCTAATATGTACTGAACTGTTGTTCTCTTTTACAGGGAAATCCTCATTGACAATTCAGTTTGTTGAAGGCCAGTTTGTTGACTCCTATGACCCAACCATAGAAAACAGTAAGTATTGTCTCCAAGCTCTCACCCACTGACAGCTCCTCTTCATACAAATAGCCATTGTGTGCTCCTGGAGGCTTTGATTACAGGAGGTGCTTGTTAAGTCTGTACTTCAACTGAGAGCAAAGAAAACTAGCAGTGGGTAACACTGCACTGAGTGAGATTTCATTCAATGTCCAGATCCCATGCCATCTAGAAATTTCTACTCAAGTCAGTAGAAAATTGGCTTATACTAGAGCATTCATATCCAGAATCTGTCTTAGGAACAGAGAGCACAGTCTTATTTTTCTTCTTTCCCTTTCCCTTTCCCATCTTGCCCAGACTAGTCTTGAACCCTGAGGCTCAAGGGAGCCTCCTGAGTAGCTGGAACTACCAGGGCCAGCAAACCTTTTAGGGCTTTCTTTGGTAACAGTGCACTGCAGCTTCGGGTTCACCACTGCTGGTTATAGGCGTGTGCCACTGTGCCCTGCTTGCCTGGCTTCTTAAAGCTGGAACATCATCTTTAATTGTGCCTGGGGCTTTAGTTTATTTCTCATGGTACGAGGATTGAACCTGGGGTCTCTGCACTAAGCTACACCTCCAGCCATGTCTCTTTTAAACTCTTTACTTTGCTGATTCACTACACTGTCCAGCCTGGTCTCTACTTGTGGTTCTCCAGCCTTGCGGAGTGCTGGGATTACAGGTGTGTGTGCTGTGGTTCTTTGCATTTCACGTGTTTGTCTGTTTCAGTGTTCAGCCCTGCAAACATGTTTCATCTCAGAGGTGATTGCAGGATGTTTGTTAATTGATGTCTTTAGGCATGAGCAGAACTGGATATTGCACTGCAGGGATCTGGTGGAAGTTCAGGAGACATATTCATTAGGTAACAGGTTCTATTTACTGGACTTCAGATAGTGTCGACAGAGGGCAGAAGCTTTTATACCCACTCTTAGGTAGAAAAACATGGCTCAGCAGGAACACTGAATTCAAAAAAGGGGAAAAGTTACTATGACTCTGTTGCTATTAACAAATTTGTATATGGATGGTCTTACGGCCATTTTTAAAACCTAATACTCTGTAATTTAGAAGTAATCTGTGGTAATCGTGTACTTGGCTTTATTGTATAGGAAAGGCTGTTTACCGTAAACATGCAGTGGCAACATTTTCATAAAGTGTCACTCTAAGCAAAAATTCCGGGACTCTGTCATCTTTAATCTAGGGATATAGGAAAATAACATTAACAAAGCCTTATGTTATCTAATTTGGGGATACCTATAGATCAGAATAGTGCTTATTCAGATATATTTTTATTATTTATTGTTATGTTAATCTAATTGCTCAGTAGACACTAGGTTGGTATGACAAAATTAAACTAGTGGAGGCTTGTGACTTAGAAGCAAGAATGGCAGTAATTTATTATAACTTCTGCCAGCTGGGCTCAGAGTATCATTACTGAGGAATAAGACTCCTCCCTCCTGGCAAACTAGAAGTTCGAAGAGGGGTGCTGCACTGTCAGGTTTGCCTGCTAGTGCACTTCCAGGGGGGTATAAATTAGGGGTGCTTAGTGTATGTCAGTAACAAATCCTACTTTGTGGATATCAAATTCTAGAAAGTTGAATAGCGTATTTACTAGCCTTTACTACTAAAAGCTGTTAAACTCCTTAGGGAATTGCAGGGTTTGGGGATAGAGTGATTGGAAAAGGAGGTGTGCACGCATTCTGGGAAAGTAATGTTAGGGAAAAATCAGATTTCAGTTTCTACACAAGGTGCGATTTAGGGGGCTGAAAGAATGTGCTTTTTAGACTGTCCTTTTAGAGTATTCCCTCTCATCTGTAGTATAAGGAATATGGCACTTTTCCATGGATGATGGAAGGTCTTCAGTTTGATTTTGATTCAGTGTAAGAAATATACATCTTTTTATGCGCACGGGCCTACTTGATTTTCTTTCGTTGTGCACATTGTATCTCCCACTGTCTCAGTAGGGTCTTCTCCTGCTCTCCAGTCATCTTCTCCTTCCTGCAGTTTGCTATGGACTCTCTCATTATGTACCCCAACCCCAAGCTCTCTGCTGAGCTCTGGGCTTCTTTTCACTGCCCTCGTTTTCTCTTGGGTTCTCAATAGCATCACAAATTTAAGAAGCCCAACTCTTAGTTCCCTCCTTTTGCAGGGGTAGTGTTCCTCCTGTCTTCTGTACATTGTAATGATAGCTCTGTTCATGTTGTTGCTCAAGCCGAAAACTGGCACCTCGCTTCCCACTGGTCAGCAGTCCTGTGGCTCCACCTCCACACACACCCAGGGTTTCTGCCCCGGTGTGGGCCATCACCCTCTTCTGTACGTCTAGTTCAGTGATAATGAGATGACCCTTTTCATGTTTAGTGATAAATAGACTCCTGCGGCATTCATGGTCTAGTCTGTTTCATGCTGGCATTGCTCTGTGTTGGGGCTCCCCCTCTTACCCTTATGTCCTGTTTGCCTGTTGCCCAGAGTCACCAGGGGTGCTCTTTCAGGGGTACGCATGAGATGGCGTTTTGCTTCTCCCAGTCCTGGCTGTGTTAACTCAGGCAGTGTAAGCATCCAGGCCCTGCTCTCTCCTGTGGGGCACCTGCCTGCTCTCAGCTCCAGCACCTTGACTTGCATGCTGTGGTCGCTTGCTGCTGAATCTCAGCCTGGTGTTCTTTTTGCTAGACAGAACACCACCTGCGGCTGGTGGGTTCATGCATACATCTGCCTTCCATCAACTTGTGGCCAGACCCTGTGGCATCCTAGGCACCTAGAGCAGGGCGGCTGGTGGTAGGTAGCTAACAGCAGTGGCATTGGGGAAACAGTTGTTGAATGGATACTTTGTTTGTTCATTAATCTTGTCACAATAATTACATTGTACCTCATAACCACCGGAACTTAGTTTTGATTGAAAGCCACCGCTTTCACTGTTGTTTCTTACATAATTTTCATCAAATCTGCAATGTACTTCTTGATCCTACCTAGAGGAATTAGTTTCTCACAGCTACATCGAGACTGCCCCCTGGCTGACAGTGATTGAAAGTTTACACACCACAGACAATCCCCATCAGGTCACCGTGTGAAAAGCAACTTACATTGCCTCTTAAATCAGCAAAACAGGTCACAGTGGGCCTTCCCCATCTTGAGGTAGTCTGATTTAGGATGCTGGTGTTTTGTGCTGCTGCGACACTCTGCCACTGACCTATATCCTCAGCCCTTTTTGTTTTGGGAGGAGGGGAACAAGGTCTCACAAAATTGCCCAGCCTGGTCTCACACTTGCAGTGCTTTTGCCTCAGCCTCCGAACAGCTGGAATCACAGGCTTGGACCAATCTGACTGAATTTCCTTCTTGTCTGCTCCTTTCTTTCAAGCAGTCATTTCCAGAAGGGTTCACAGTGACACACAATGAGGTGGCCAGCCTGTGACCTCTGCACCACACTGGAAAAGCGACACTCCGGCAGCTCCTGTGGCCACCTTCCTTCCTGTTAACTCCTGTGACCCAGCCAGGCTCTCCTGTCTTTCTTCTTGTCACTTAGGGGATTCTTGAACAATTTCTATCTGACTCTGTCTTTTTTTTTTTTTTTTTTTTGTCTTTTTCGTTTTTATCGGTACCAGGGATCGAACTCACGACTGCCTGCTTGCAAGGCAGGTGCTTATGCCGCTGAGCTAAATCCCCAGTCCCCCTGACTCTGTCTTTTAACGTATGATAAAATGTGACCTTTCTCAGGTGTCCGAGGTATTGCTTCTGCTTCTTGGCTCTCATGGTGCCAGGTGGCCAGGCAGGAGTTGGCTGAAGCTGGGCACACACAGGAAATGGTTTACTTCTGTGTAGGATTCCAGATGCTTATTTTTTTTTCCAATATTCTGTTGCTGTTAATAGTTCTGTCCTCTCGCCTGCATGTGTTGAAGCCTGATTCCTTACAATTCTGAGTTATCTCCTTTGGAATTTGATTTCTTTCCCCTTGGTAGGAAAAAGAAGTTGTGATAAATTGGATCCTTAGCTTAAATGGGGATGGTAGCTACAGTGCAGAAAGTCTTTTCCACTGCTGTTTTATCTACCAGTAATACTAATTTTTTATGTAGTGGAAGTTCTTAACACTTGAGTTAATGTACATTCCTTGTGCTCAATGCCAGCCTTTTGTAAATTAATGGAAGACTTGTGTGGTTTGGGTTCACCCTAGACCTCACACTTCATGTGGTACATTTCACTTCCTCACAAAAGGAAGAGACTCTCTTGGATTATTAGTATTAGATAGGAATCACTGCCTAATCAGTTTCCCTGGAAAAGAGCCAAGACCCAAGTAAGACCACAGCGATGCTTAGATGGATAATGGAAGTAGGGAAGAATCCATATAGCTCAAGAGATTCATTCTTTTTTGTTTACTGGGAGCTTCTTGTGAGTTTGTTAGGGACTCCATGTTTGATCCTTTGTCATTGTTCAGACTTGAAGAGATCTAGAGTTAATTTCTTAAAACTAATATTTAATCCCCTTTTTCCCTCTAGCTTTCACAAAGTTGATCACAGTAAATGGACAAGAATATCATCTTCAGCTCGTAGATACAGCTGGGCAAGTAAGTGACCCCAGGACCACAGGTCTCCCTTGGCGGGTGGTGGGGCGGCCAGGCCTGCCTGGCTGAGTGAGCAGCAGTGAGGCCAAGCACCCCTTAGAGCTGTGTGTGTCTTGGGGTGCTGAAGGGCTTTGTCCTCCTGAATGTGTGTGGTTGCTTTCCAGGACACTCACATTCCCGCAGTAGGGAAGTTCTAAGTTTTGTTAATTCGGGGTTGACACTTACTATAGAGTAGTGAGTGATTTTCTAAGTATCAGTTCTGTGTTAGAAAGTAATATTAGTGCTTTTTTTCCCCTCAGTAATGTATGTTCTTCTACTTTAAAAGCAAAAATAAAATCTCAGAGGACCCGCATGAGAGAGCTAAAGGGCAGAAACAGGCAGTCTCATCTTAGAAGACTTGGGCCGTGAAACATGAATTTCAGTTTGATTTCCTGACAGTGGGTAATTGTCCAAAGTTAAGTTATACCCAAAAGAGATACTGATAGGTTAGCCAGTGTGGCAGTGGTGTGTGGAACGGTTCACCGGGGCAACTGACTGGAAGCGAGGGGAAAAGAAATGAGTAGTGCTGGGAATGAAAAAGCCCTTTGACAGCTTAGCTGCTTGTTTCCATGGTAGCCGCTTCCACTCTGACTAGAAACTATTCTGTTAGATTGAATCTGCCCCTGTTCACTGGAGGGTGGGGAGTGGCAGAGGATGGTGTCTGGTTCCTAACTCCTCCTCTCTTCGTCTTATAAACACAAAGGGCTGGGCAAGTGGGAGGTGGGTGCTCTAATCTGGCCAGCCACCTTGAAAAGAAGCTTTTTTCTGGAGCCCCGGGAAGCTGAAGTAGACCTATAGAGCAATGTGACATGTCCTGTGGGTTGGGAATGAATTCCCTCTCTTTGTTGGAAGTGAACAGAGAAGGAAACTGTGGCCCCTTTGTGAAGCAAGAACTAGCTATACTGAGTGGAGTTTGCACTGGAGAAACTCTGGGGTTTCCATTCTGAAAGCTGGGAAGGAAATAAACCACACATGTGGTCTCCCTCCCTTACTACCAGTGCACCCTTGCTGTGGTTGGTGTGCTTTGGACCAGGAGCCATCTGTGAGCACAGCCATCCTGGGGGCCTGTCCATGACAGAGTGCGGGTTAGGGCTCTTCAGAACAAGTAGCAGCCTCAGTGCCAAAGGGACACAGCTACTCTAGGGCTGGTGGAGAAGAGCTTCCGGGCAGCATACTTTGGGTTTATGTCTGTACAGTGAAGGTGACTGGGTGGTGTTTGCCTGAACTAAGGCATACTTAGCATCTGGGACTGCAGGTATGTGCTTAGTGTGACTTGGAGCAGAATTGTACCCTCTGCCTACAGTGGGATCTCACTAGCAGCAGGAGACTTCGTTTGGAATCTTCCTGAAGCTCCTAAAAAATGAGAATGTGGCTATAGATTGGCAAATCACTTCCAAGAAGTGTTAGAAAGTCACCTCTACAGGGACAGTGCTTCTCCAGGGTTGAGCATGGGCTGGAGTCCCAGTGTGTGAGGAGAGAGTAGCCCTTAGTGCCCCCCCCCCCACTGCCTTCTATACAGCGGGGAAAGGGCAGTGTCCGCCTGGCTCTCCACAAGCAGCTGTGGACCCTGTGTGACGCCTCAAGGCTGGCAGATTCCCAGCTGTTAGCACAGTGAGCCAGCAACTGGGAGGAGCCACAGAGCTGGTCTTTGTGTTGGCTTCCTTATCAGCAGAGAAGGTGCTGCTTGCTCTAAAGCAGTGGTGTGAACCTGCAGCGCATCATATTGTTCTTCTAAAATAAAAGATAGTAATGTATGAATTTTTTCCCCCTAAAATAAAACCTCAGTGTTGATGTTTAATTGCAGTGTTGGCATTTTGCGTACATTAGTGGGTTTTGGTTTGCAGTGTGAACACTCTGGTTTAAAAAGTTCACCATCACTAGTCTGTGCTGGGCATGTATAGAAGGGCAGCAAACACTTCATGTGTGTTAGGGTAGTGGAGCCAAAAGGAGTAAGTGTGTGATGTGTGATAGGACAAGAGCCTGGGTGGATTTGTAGCTCTGTGGCTCCTGTGGGTAACAATATTCAGGAAAGACATTTGGGAGGCTGAAGCAGGAGAGTCACAGCAAGTTCAAGGCCATTGTACACTTCTTATTTGGCTGTTTTGAATAATTTGTCATTATAGCCAATAGTTCTTAAAAGGAGATGATAAGAAGGGGTGTGGCTATGTTTGCCATTTGCAGTTAGGAAACCACTTCTGCTGTGGTTCTGCCCTCGATCTGTTAACAAGCTCTGAAAGAGTGAGCCCTGCATTTGGGCTCACACAGGCTGGTTGTGGGTTGCGGGGGTGGTTACAGGGAGAGATAGAGAAATCCTTTTGAAGTGATCTACAGCTGGGTATAGTCCCAGCTCTTCAAAAGGGAGTCTAGGAGTTACAAGCCAAGAACCTAGCAGGACCCCATCTCTAAAAACAATAACCCAAAGTAAATTTGTTTACTAATTCACGCTTTTGATCTCTTTTAAGACAGAGCCTTTACTATGTAGTTTAAGGCTAGCTTTGAACTCTCAGGGATCCTCCTGCCTCAGCCTCCCAAATGCTGGGGTTACAGGCATGCGCCACCACACCCAGACAGTAATTTACACGTTTAAGGAGTAAACTTGCTCACAGTAGATGGCTGCTTAGCAAGCAATTCACAAGAGTGAATGCTACTTACCTAGTGTGTCTTATTACACATCCAGCTATTGAGGACACATCCTTGGAAACGTTACATTAGCCAGTTTTCCCACTGTGGAAACATCAGTATATACTCATATAAACCTGTGTGGGAGAGCCTGCTGCACTTCTAAGCTGTTTTGTGTGTGTGTGTGTGTGTGTGTGTGTGTGTGTATGTAAAATATAGTTTACTGCTGCTAGAGCCATGAACAAAACACAAGATTGAATCAGGTGCAAGAGAAAAATAAAACTAAAAGATAGGAATGAGACGTATAAATGCCTGCTGCCATGTAATGTGACCCACAGTACCAGGGATTGAACCCAAGGCCTTCAACTGAAATACAGCCTCATTTTGTTTGTTGTGTTGTGTTGTGTAGTGTTTTGAGAACAAATCCCTAAATCACTTAAATTAGGCCATGGCTGGTGATGCAGGCCTATAGTCCCAGCACTTGAAAAGTTGAGGCAGGAGGATGGCCATGAGTTCAAGGCCAGCCCGAACTGCATAATGAAACCCTGACTCAAAAATATAAAATAAAACTATCCATTGCAACTTTAATTTTAAATCAGTCAATCCGTCACCCGAGTTGTCCAGGCAGGGCTCAGATTTGTGATTCTCTTGCCTCAGTCTCCCAGAGCACTAGGATTATGGGCAAGCACCACCACAGCCAGCTGTAACACCCTGCTTTACAGTAAGCCTTTATTTTCACAGTACTGAGGATGAAACCCAGGGCTTCAGGCCTGCCAGGCAAGTAAGCGCTCTTATCACTGAGCTGTGCTCCAGTCCCCACTTCTATAAGTAAATGGAAATATGCTTTAAAATAGCAGTGGAAAGTAGAGTGCAGTGAGTACAGAGACCAGGCACTGGTCACTGCCAGGAGTCGTGTGCTGTGTGTACTATGCTTTTGTATAGCTGTAGTGGCCCGTCACCACAGCATAAGGAAGGTGGCATGCTAGGGTGTTAAGAACAGCAATATGTCACTAGGTGGCAGAGACTTGCGGGGACCCTATGTCTGTGTGGGCCATCATGACCAGAGGTGGTGTGGTGGGTCTGGGGTATTTACAGTAATAGGGGCTGAACCCAGGGCTTGCTTTTTTCTTTTTCTTTTGCCTAGAGCTACACCCTCAGTCCTATTTATTTACTTCCGTTTTTTCTGGGGTTGGGGCTTTTTTGAGACCAGGTCTCGATATACAGTTCAGATGGCCTCCTGCCTGTTTTAAAATAGAATCTTGATAAACTTTCCCGACCTACCTTGAATTTCAAGTCACCATGCCTTGGTCTCCTGAGTGGCTGGGATTACAGGCATGTGCCAGCACATCTAGCCATCCTGGCTGTCTTAGTTTGTGGAGCTGTTGTCTCCATTAGTCATGTTTGCAGGACATAGCAGTCACATTGCTCGTGGGGTTGTCCATGTACATGTACATGACATGGCTGCATCCTTTCCACCTCTTCCCTCCCCAGCCCTGGCTGGCCCAGCACACCTTCCCCCACCACCCAGCAAACCCTTTGTCAGCTCCTAATATTGTGTGCCTCTAAAGTACAGGATTGTTACTCTCTCTGACACAGAAAGTAGTACACCTCCCTCTTAGAAATTCTTCCCCAGCCCTGCACACTCCCATGGCTGGGTTGGACCCAGTTGGGATTTGTGGCAGAGTTCATTGCTGCAACTGCCGATCAGCGGTGACCATGCCCTCAGGCTTGCCCCCACTGGTAGTCCACAGTGAGCACCCCAGTGTCAGCGTTGTTTTCCTTATCTGTGAGGGGCTATGGGCTTGCTCCGACTCAAGTCCCTGCTCTGAGTTACCTGTGTCTTAGTGAGCTCTGTCCTTGGTTTCTAGTGTGTGGTCTGTGCTTGCTGTCTTGAGACTGAACATGTGAAGGAAATTAGCATTTTGAGTGTGTCCTGAGATGCAGGCTTTCATTTTTCTTTTGTTTATGGTTTTTGTTTGAGAGTTTACAGTCATAGAGAACATTTTAATTTTCTCACAGTTGAGTTTATTCTTATTTAACCAGTTTTTAAAAATTCTCCCACATCCCTACAGTTTTCATACCCCGCCCCATCCTGCCCCAGAGCTGAGAATTGAACCCAGGGCTTTCACACTGAGCTACATCCCTGGCCTTGATGTTTTGAGACAGGACCTTCCTAAGTTGCAAAATTGTGTAGGGTGGGTTTATGCTTGTGGTCCTCCTGCCTTAGCTTCCTGGAGTGCTGGGAACCCACAGCTAATTCGATACCTCTTATACCTCTTTGGGTCCTAGAGGACCTCTGTCCAGTCATGAGCCTGTGTCCATGGTGGTTGCTGTAGCTGCTGTCCACTTTATCACACCCTGCAGCGGCCCTCGTTTCTAAGGCCCTCTGCTGTTTCCTAAAATTGTGGTGCATTCGCAGTGTGACTTCTCTGTTCCTCAGTGATGACCTTGCATGGTTTTGCTCGGACCGTGGCATGGTGTTGCCTTCCTCTCAGGTTTCTGATGCCTGGGAAGTGTGTGAAGCCTTCTGTGTGAATCGCTGCTGACTTAAGCTCATCCTTAGGAACCTGTTCATGGGGCTGGGCACAGGGTCTGAAGCTTGCGGCTGATGGTTGTCCTCTTTGAGAGGTGCTTGTGTGTGGCTGGGTTTCAGACAGTGCTGCTTTTCTTTGTTCTCACTTCTGTCCTTCAGGGAAAAGGAGAGTTAAGCTTTGGACTTCTAGTGGCTAGGCTTTAGCCAAGATCATTGCAGATCTTTTTAATCTTTATCTGATGTTGCATTACGAGAAATTATTTTCAAAATAAACACTAAAAAATACAATGTAATGAAACTGTACCAAAAATGCATGAGCTAAAGGCTCTGTTTTATATGTAAAAAGTTTTAGGATAGAAACACTCTTTTCTGTTTAATTACTGTTTATGATGTCAAAGAATTGAAGTAAAACTTTATACTTTGATTTGTTTCTCTTTTTTTCCAAATTCAGGGAGAAAAAAGAAAAAAAAAATTAAAGCAAGTTTCAGAACGTGTCAGTTAGGGGCGGCAGTGGTGCACACACTGCACACTGTCATCCCCACATCATTCACCTAGGGCACAGGATGTCTGCCTTCAGTGGTCCGAGCAACACTAGCCCGAATCTTTCTCTTCCGTGAACCTCAGAGACATCAGTAGTGTGACCATTCTAACTAGTTCAGGGGCACACTTACACATATACACACACATACCCATATTGACTTGTTTTTACAAGAACTTTCCCACGGGGCAGTAGTCCCTGGTCATCGTGAAGAATTGTAACCGTGCCATGGCTGGCAGAGTTAGAGCTGCTGCTTCTGTGGTAGCAGCGGGACAGGACGGTCGGCAGTGTGTTTGAGACTGTTGTATTAGTGACAGTTGAATCCCAGCTGAGAGCCAGAGACCTGCACGAGCTGTGGCACATGTTGGTGACAGCTGACTTCTGGGGAATTTCTCTACTTTTGTGTCTAAAGCCAAGTTCTGAGAGGTTGCTTTGTAAGATCAGGGACTGAGTCACTCCAGAAGCTTCTCAGTAATCGTTTTTTTGATCCCCAAAGGTCTGGGTATACTGATAGATCCTGGCAGTTTGATCTGCCCTCTCCTCCTCTTCTCTCAATTGCTTATGGCAACCTTGAGGCAGCCCTTAGATTGATGCCCAAGGCTCTGTGACTGGAACATAGAGAACAGGACGTGGACGTGTCATTCCCAAGGGCCTGAGAGATTCTGAACTTTACGTCTGTGAAAGAAATGTGGTGTGCTCTGAGCAGAGCCTCCGGACTGCTGCTCAGGGAAGGGCACTTAGCTTGGGGGCATAAGCACCTGCCTGGCAAGCGTGAGGTCATGAGTTTGATCCCAAGTACAAAAGAAAAAAAGACTGTTGTACACTCCTTCCATTCCCTTTTCTGGAGAAGTCCATGGTACCATCAGTTGGTGAGTCCTAGAATAACTAGAGTCATCTTAGAAAATCTGTGAGAAGCACATTATCACCCACAGAGCTCTCTGAAACCTTCAGGGTGTGGGCTGCATTTCCGGATGATTCTGTGTTCTCTGTGTACTTGAGTTTCTTTGATTTTTGTGTAGGTACACATTGCCATGTTCTGTGAAGATCTCGTTCACCTGTGATTATTTTTTCTTCCACAGGATGAATATTCCATTTTCCCTCAGACATACTCCATAGATATTAACGGATATATTCTTGTGTATTCTGTTACATCAATCAAAAGGTAAGACGCCAGGTGCTGGCTTGAGTTTATTTGCTCTGCACGATGGCATGAATCCTTTTAAAGGCCTATGATGGGATTAACAGTTAGACTTGATTGTTAGGCTAAGTGTTTTTTAGTGGTTTTCTTATGGAGCAGACAGGTTATTGAGGAAACAGTGTCCCCAGTAGATGCTTTGTGACACTGGCACAATAAAATCTTTCTTACTTAAGGCTGCTTTAGGTTGTGATTGAACATGATGTGCGATTTTCTGTTAATTTATGAGAAACACATGCGCTTTTATATTTTGTCTGTTTTTACCAGACTCTGTGGAGAGTCCGTAAGGAGTAGACCTTGTAAGACAGTTTGAGGCACAGTGGTGGCGCCCTTCAGGAAGCTAAAAGGGGAGAGCATCCTGTGCCTTTGGGGCTAAGTTGGGCGGCCACCTGTTGGAGGCTGCTGCAGAAGATCCTGGTCTCTCAGGCCTGCAGGGGACTATCGGGAGGGGCATCATTGGCCCCTCTGGTGTCTGTGGCGTCTGTTATGTAGTGGTGGAGGAGGGTCCACTCCTGCACAGTGCTAGAGCAGCGGCAGTGGTCTTCCCCAGCCTTCCTGAGGGTGGAAGCAGCAGTATAAACAGTCCCACCAGAGCAGACTTGAGCTCGTCCTGAGACAACACCGAACAGGCGTCTGGGTGGGAGACAGGTGATGCAGAGCTGGTGCTGAGGTGCGCTGGCTCAGAATCACTTACTGGATGGTTAGGAGACTGAGCTTGCTTCCATGACTTGTCAGCCGAGCCTCAGACACTTTCTTACACACCATACCTGTGGGACTCAGATAGCATCAGGAGGGTTGCTGAGTGCCTGGGTAGGTAGGGTGGGTAGGGAAATAGGAAACGCAGTTATGTGAAAAGGGTGAGTCTGGGCATACGTGCTCTCTGCTGTCTGACAGACCTTTGACAACCTGAAAGCTGAAGTGGATATCATGATTTCATGTGTTTTTGTCTTACAGTTTTGAAGTGATTAAAGTTATCCATGGCAAATTGTTGGACATGGTGGGGAAAGTGCAGTAAGTAGTGCTGCTTAGCCTTTTCCTGTTACTGAGTCTTCCAGGTGGCACGATCGGGCACTAACCGGTTCATTTTTTTCCTTATATGTAGAATACCTATTATGTTGGTTGGGAATAAAAAAGACCTGCATATGGAAAGGTATGTACCTTTTATATTGTTGATTTATAAAATCAAGTCAGAGTTGAGTTAGACACTAAATAGAGCATTTTAAATTACTCTGGCAGCACAGATACACCTGGGTGCAGTGTTTCTGTACGGTCACTGCAGTGTGACTAGTGCATTTCTCTGAAGAGGAGACCAGACTTGATAAGAGGGTTCTCTTGGGGGTCTCTGCCTCGGTGTTGTTTTTCCTGGGTGTATTTGTGTCTGCAGGCAGGGATTACAGGAGCAGGGAGTGGGGCTGGGCAGAGAACAGCTCACATGGCACCACGGAGTGGAGCAGCTGCAGTCCCTGGCCTGAGCTGTTTACCTCTGGGGTATGAGGGGCAGCACTGGAAAACAGGATGAGTTTCTATCCCTGAGCTGCAAGACCTGGGGGGCCCCACAGTGCCTGCCCTGCCCCGCCCCAGTTACTCCTAATGATGCTGTGCAGCCTCCATCCTGATCAGAATGGAGCCTGTTTCATCAATTTTGCATGCTTCATGTAATAAGGGACAAAAACTAGAACGTTCTTGTTCCTTCAGGGTGATCAGTTATGAAGAAGGGAAAGCTTTGGCAGAATCGTGGAATGCAGCTTTTTTGGAATCTTCTGCTAAAGAAAATCAGGTTTGTGGTTTCTAAATGCATTGTGTGCAGCATTCTCCAAAGTCAGTGTTTGCACTCCATCTTTATCGTGCCCATGTTACCCAGAGCCTTTTCTATTCGTTCTATTTTGGGAGGATGAGACCCTAGCCTCTTGCACACCAGCCAGCACTCTACCGCTGAGTACATCCACGGCCCTTCTCACGTTTTCTTTTGAGATAGGGTCTTCTAGTGTTGCCCAGGCCTGCCTTGACATTGGAATCCTCTTCCCTTCTTTCCAGGCTGAGTGCCGGGTTCCCCTGTCCAGTGGGTTATGGTCTCCTCCATGGGTGCAGGTAGAGAAGGTGTTAATTCTGTGTCATTGGTTTCCATGTCCCAGATAGTAAAGACTTTTTCTGGATCTGTTCAGGTCCAGGCTATAGGTGGTGAGAATTCAGATAAAATTGAGATTAGCAAGATGCTTGCATTTTACTAGAATTAAATATTTAAGTGACTATACAGTCCTAGATTCAACTAGATTCAACTAGATTCTCTAGTTGAATTGTTTTGCTTTTTTTGTTTGTTTGTTTGTTTGTTTTTGTTTTTTAACAAAAGATCTCAGTCACTAAATTGCCCAGATTGGGTTCAAATTTCTGATCATCCTCGCCTAGCCTCCAGAATGCTGAGATTATGAGTGAGAAAATTAGGATTCAGAGATGTTAAGATAGCGTCTCTGAGATTACCCTATATTTTGTATGGTATAGGAAGTAGGACTAGATTGAAATAAAAGCAAACCTCGTCCTTTTTCTCTGCAGTGCTGTCTAATGATGAGGTGATCCTGGCAGTGACCTTGCTTAGACAGAGATGGGCCTGGGAGGTTGAGAGCTAGGACAGCCCCTCACTCAGAGCAGCAAGACATGCAAGGGTGCACACGCTGGCTTGGTGGCCAGAGGACACAGGGCGCTCGTATGGAGGGCGCTTCTGTTTTCCAGGGAGCAGGAAGTGAGCTTATCAGCGCAGGGTGAGAGTGGGGGAGTCAGGGAGCGAGATGAGGCATATAGTGCCTTTCTTTGGAGAGGGACACGCTGAGGGACTGGAGCCGGGCTGCTGGCTTCTGCTCATGGGGGACAGTGAGCAGTAGCAGGTTGTGCTTTCCTGGGCAGCACTGGGCAGGTGGCCACTGCAGAGAAGGGCGAGGAGGAAGTAAGTGACCTCAAGGGATTGTAGAGCCCAAGCTGGCCCAGAAGGGCAGGGAGGACAAAAGGTGGCCAGGGGTATGTTGTGAGGTCAGCAGATGGGATGGGGATCCTGTGGGACTGAGTGAAAATGAACTAGGAAAATGGGGTGCAGAAATAAGAGCAGGCTCAGCCTATCAGGTAGCCCAGAGGGTTAAGCCTGTGCTTGCTTCCCCCTCCCCCCCCCAGACTGCCGTCGATGTTTTCAGAAGGATAATTTTGGAGGCAGAAAAGATGGATGGGGCAGCTTCACAAGGCAAGTCCTCGTGCTCGGTGATGTGAGCGCGCGGCCTGAGGACACTGGGATTTGTTCTGCCTGAGGACATGGCACCTGTCCTCAAAGGAAACTGCTTCTTCTCTTCTGTTCACCTGAGAGACGTCATTGGGTCAGAGCCCCCCCTTTCAGATTATGTTCAACTCTGACTCTGTCCAAATGAGTTCACTTCCATTTGCAAATTTTAAGCAATCATATTTTCAATTTATATATTGTATTTCTTAATATTATGACCAAGAATTTTATCGGCATTAATTTTTCAGTGTAGTTTGTTGTTTAAAATAATGTAATCATCAAAATGATACATATTGTTACACTACTATTAACTAGGCTTCAATATATCAGTGTTTATTTCATTGTGTTAAATGTATACTTGTAAATAAAATAGCTGCAAACCTTCATCCCTTGTGCTGCTTGCTTTGGCTGCAAGGGGACCCTGGAACCATCCTCTGGGGCCTCAGTGCACCAGCATATGTGCCTGCATCCAGGCACATGCCCTGTGCGTCGTGGATGACGGAGCTCAGTGGCCCTGGTCTCCAGAACAGTGCCTTCTCGCCTTCCAGCAGTGACTGGAGCACTAGTACAGGAGAGCCCTGGACCTAGGTGGCAGAGGACTCTTGTTCCGCTTATGTCTGTCATGCCAGTTGAAGCAAAGGAGCTACTGTGAGACGTATTTTGCCCTTCTTCCTATTTAGCATGATATCCCTTTCAGGATAAAAGTTTAGAACTGATTCTCTGCTGGGCACGGGGGCACCTGCCTGTGATCCCAGCACAGGGGAGACGGAGGTCGGATTGCCATGAGTTGGAGACCAGCCTGGGCTGCATAGTAAGACCCTGTCTCAGGAAAAAACTGCCGTAGGTTTGCTGTCTGCCAGCGTCCCATAGTGAGAGGTCCTGAGGGTGGGCAGTGCCACCGGTGGTGCCCTGTGTTAGGAGTCAGCCTCGATGGCCTTGCCTGTGTCCTGTCTTATGAGGAGCCGTCGGCAGGGAAAGGGACTCTAGGAGTATGGGGTATCTGTGCACACCCTCACCCTGTCTGTAACTCAGACTTGAGGTACAGCCATGTACCTTTTTAAGTTGAATTTCATGTGTGCCCCTTTCTTGGCTCAAGTTTCACAGGTTGGCTGTTCCTCACATGAAGCAGATGCTGCCATCATCTTAAAATATAATTTTGTTTTGCAACTAGTTTTTAATAAAAAATTCGTGTCCTTAGAGCATACCATTCTCTTGGGTCTTAAGCATTTTTATCTCATTTGTCATCCCAGAATGAAGTGAGAGTCTTAGAAGACATCTTGTCCACCAAATACTGTTTTAAGTAACTTAATTTCAGCAAGTTATTAACACAGTTTAACCCAAAAACAAGAAAGGTACCTCGGCAGCAGATATGTGGGGCTACATTAGAAGAGCCCGTTCCCTCTGGCCAGCCCTTCCCTCCTGAAGCCTCCTGTGCTTGTAGGGCGCTTCTGGACAGGACCCTGCACCAGGAGAGCTCGTGTCCTGCATTTGGCCTTGAAGATGTCACAGGTGGACCAAGGCTGTGCACGCATCCCCGAGGAGCAGTTAGTCGCTCACTAAGGTCACGGATGTCAGATGTGCCCAGTTCAGGGCCCCCTTGATGCCTCCAGTGTGTGTTGCTGTGCTGTGTTCTTCTGTTTTGTGTGCCCTGGGACATAGGAGAATCCTGTTTCAACACGAGGACGTGCAGAAGATGGTCCAGGGCCACAGCTGCCAACAGGAGCATCAGCCCAGTTCATTCTCCCTGGGTCCAGGCTGGCCTTGAAGTCACTGCACAGCCCAGGCCGCCCCCAAACTCTGTGAGCATCCTGCCTCATCCTACACAGTGCTGGGATTATGAGTGCACCCAGAACCTTGCAGATGTCTGATTTCCAGAGGAGATAATGGTTTTTCAGAAAGTCGTAGTGTCCTCACTGTGTCCTCAGCAGACCCAGTCGCCTTTCCTGGTGGCATCCGGCCCAGCAAGATGCAAGCAGGAGCTTCCTGTGGCCCTGCCTGCCAGACGGAAGGCTCCACCACTGGCAGAGTGCCTGGTAAGGTCATTTGGCCCGCAGTTCTGGATCATCCCCTCTCCTATGCCTGCTAATGAGACAGGTTCTGCTGCTGTGTGCCTGTGCTGTGACACACACACAGCCTCTAGCAGTGTGCTGTGGCTCTGCAGGGTTTTGCCTGCTCTAACACTGCCAGAAGAGCACTGGCCTCTGTCTGCGGGCCTCTGTGTGGGTGTCTGCAGCCCTGCGGGGTGGGAGGGATGTGCTGCCACAGGGCCCCACTGGCTCCGGTGGCCACAGCTGGCCACAGCTGATGCCTATACCGAGAACAGCCCCCTGAGCTGCCTGGCAGGCTGGAGCACTCCTGCAGACCCTGGAACCACCTCAGCCCTTTCCATCCCAAGAGCAGGACACATTCTACTGAAGCAAACTGTCATCGCCAGCCTTCCCTTGTCCCTACTCAGGTCTTCCAGTTTAGAGTGGCCACATTTCAAGGGCAGGGCAGAGCCCAAGGTCCAGGGAGTTTCAGACAACTGGCAGAGACACCCTCTGCCCTCCGGCTGCTGCACACTGTTTGAACACCCGTGCCCATACCCGGGGAACCCAGGTGGGCACCCTGGCCTGGGCCACCCCACAGCAGAAACCCTGTACTCTATATTTTCATTTCCTTTACCCACAAATGAACCTGTCCCAGCAATTCCCGAAATGGCCCCGTTGGCAGGCCCAAATGCCTCTGGTGCCCCAGACAAACTCGAGTCACTGTGGCTAAGGTAACTGTTTACCTTGATTGTTATCCTGAGATCTGTCACCTGACATCAGGCACCCCACTCATTCCTGCAGCCCCTGGGGTTCTGCAGCCAACGCTGTAATGACTGAATCTGAATAGAGCCCTGCTCCCTCCCACTGCACGGTGAGAAAGGTGGCAGGCAGTATGGAGGGAGGTCCAGGAAACTGTCTCACACCAGGCAAGCCCAGCCTTGGGACACCAGGTCTGCCATCATGATGCAGGACACAGGCCCGCCACCGTGCACAGGTCATGGGTCCCAAGTTGAGGCTGGCCCCACAGAGCTCAGCCCCCTTTGCTCAGCCAAACCCTGCTGCAGCCAAGGGGCATGGGCCTCCGAGGGAAGTAGGGATGGTGTGGGAGGTGCTGTTAAAGGTCTCACATCTGCTAAGCCTGGGATATGCCTGGGTGGTTGGTGTCTCATCATGGAGACTAGGCTGGCTGTGAACTCTTGGGTTCATGGGATCCTCCTGCCTCAGCCTCTCAAAGCTGGGATTATAGACATGAGCCACCTTGCCTGGCTTTCCTTTATTTATTATTTGTTTATCTTATTGCAGTACTGGGAAGTGAACCCAGGGCGTCATGCACAGTAAGCAGCTGTATCCTCAGCCTTTTAAAATTTTATCTTGAAACAGAATTTAACTTGCCTAAGCAGCTCTCAAACTCAATGTCCTTCATCCTTCGTCAGCCTGCTGAGTGGCTGATATTACAGGCTTCTTCCACACACCACACCATACAGCCTGGCTGTATGTTTTTAGCACGTTTTACAAGAAATAGCCCAGACTCTGCCTGTGTCCTCAGCGACAGGGAACTTTCACCCAGTTCTGCCTGCGCTCAGGAAAAGCCCAGGCAGGCAGTGCTGTTTCTCTTGTTTTATTTCTTTCTTAGCAAAATTTGCACAGCCCAGCAAAGGTTTGCCCTGACACTGAGTCTCAGATCCTGTCCCCATCATTATCAGATCAGATGTCAAATAAAGAAGAGTTTTCTGTGTGTCCTGAACTTTACCCTAAAAGGCTAAAGCCCTGCCACCTGGCACTGGGGCAGTGGAAAGGGTCACATTCCTCCACACTGACGTCAGTGCGTGGCGGCCTCCTATTGTGCCTTGGCCACGTTTGAAGGCCAGCCCTTTGTGTCCACTGCCAGAGCCAGGCCCACGGTACTAAAGTGACAGCCACAGCTCACTGCCACCCACCTCGACTCCCCGAAGAACCTGATTTGGTGGCCCTCAATGTCACCTGCATTGGTTTCCTGGAGCATTCAACAAGCAGGCCAGCTGCATTGCTGGAGTCCCCTGTCCCCAAGGCTAGGGAGGCCCTCAAGAAGTAGGTCCACATCCATTCCAGAGCCTTGGACAGTGATGGATGGGGGTGCATCATTTAAGAATAAAAGGGAGTTGTCAGGATTGCAGGGTGTGAAGCTGTATGAGGATAACCAGCTGACTTCGTTTGCCGGGCACTAGGGAGTGTTGGGGCTGAAAGCACTTTTTTACTTTAAAGAGAACAATAAAAATAATACAGGATTTCAAAACAAAGTGATAGGATTATCACCCTGCATATTGCCACCTTTGGAATAGTCTCAGATCACGAGATACAGGCATGCAGAATTAGTATAAGCACTATTGGTGAACTAAGAATGAATAGTACAGTTACCTTAGCTATCTGTGTGTGTGTCTGTGTGTGTCTTCCCCTTGTTTTGGGTTGAGTTCATTTTAAACCCTAACCCTTAGTACATATGAATGGCAGTATTTGGAAATAGGATCTGTACTAAAGAATCAAGGTTGGAAGGTTCCAGTGCAGTGCTGTTGCTGTGTGTGTGTATGTTTACTGGGGAGTGAACCCAAAGCCTTTGCACTGACGTACACCTCTAGACCTTGTTAAATCTTGAGACAAGGTGGGTTTTATTTTTTGTTTTTGGTATCAGGAATTGAACTCACAAGCTTGCACTTGTCAGGCAGGTGCTTATACTGCTGAGCCAAATCCCCGGCCCTTTGAGACAGGTTTTACAAATCCCTAAATTGCCCAGGCTTTGATCTTCCTGCCTCAGGCTCCCCAGATGCTAAGGTGACAGGAGTGTGGTCCCGCTCCTTGACTTATAAAAAGAATAACTGGAGGGACTGGGGATTCAGCTCAGCGGCATAAGCGCCTGCCTTGCAAGCAGGCAGTCGTGAGTTCGATCCCTGGTACCAATAAAAAAGAAAAAGACAAAAAAAAAAAAAAGAGAGAGAGAAACTGGACACAAAGGACAGATATGCATCAGGGAGGATGTCCCATGGACGCAGAGGGCAGAGGTTGGGGGGACACAGCTGTACTGCCAAGGCCACTGGCAGCCACCACAAGCCAAGAGTACAGCCTGAGCTGTTCCCTGCCGTGTTGTGACCTTGTCTCCAGAAATGCAGAGTGAATTTTCATGAGGTTCCCATGGGTGTGGCGCTTGGGATGGCCAGCCCCTCAGCGTGGGACTTCCCTGTAAAGTTCCCTTTCCCTGCACAGTTCCTGGCAAACCTGGGCTGGAGCCCAAATGACGGGGCTATTGGAACCGCCATATTTGCAAAGGAAGTCGAAGCTCAGAGAAGCTAGTCTCAAGAACACTTACCCATCAGAACCAACTCTGTTGTCACTGCTCTGTCCTGTCAGTGTTTGGTGGCCCCACCAGCGATAACACGTGGCCCCAGGAGTCAGAGCTGTGGGGTTGGGTGGGGCGCTGTGCTCTCTGTGACCCCCTAGAGCTAGAAAAGGGCCAGGCAGCGGTGATGCCTGCCACAGTGGCCTCCCCAGCCTGTCCTCTCCTTCTGGGTTCCAACTTGGCTTCCAAGTTGAGGGGGAGGAAGACCTAAATGTGTGACCTCCCTGGGGATGCTGCAACACCATGGGTGCCCGCTGGGCCTGGCAGCTCACATTCCAGTCATCCTTATAGCAGGGAATGAGGACAGAAGCTCAGCAGCAGAAAGGGCCCATGTCCTGGGACTGGGAGCTGGACCTGGACTAGGATTCACTTGGCTGTGAATCCTAGGAACAGCTGCCTCCGCTAGGGTTCAGGGCTTGTGCCACTAGGGTGGGGTGTTGTGCCCCCACCCCAGACTGAGGGGGCTGTAGACTGCATCTTGTACTCAGGCTGCCAGGTCCTGCCACCCTCTCTGTGGGGTGTCACCTGTCACCATGTGGATGGGCCACAGCTCCCACAGGGGTAGCAGGTGGCCCCTGGGGAACCCCCATTGAAAGAATGTGCAGTTGGGCTGGGGATTTAGCTCAGTGGCATGAGCACCTGCCCTGCAAGCAGGCGGTCGTGAGTTCGATCCCCGGTACTGGGAAAAAAAGAAAAAAAAAATTGTAAAAGAAAGAAAGAAAATGTGCAGTCTGGTGTTCACCCTGTGTCCTGCTAGCTCTCTGGGGACAAAGCGGACGTGCCCGTCTCCAGGATGTTGTCTTGGTTCAGTGACAGGACCACCTGCTACAGCCCCGGTTTGATTGAGAATTATGAGTCCTGTCCTAGCAAGAGGTTCATGGATGTTGCATCTGGAGTACGACCAGGGAAGACCGCCGCTGCCTCCTTCCTCTCCCCTTCCCCCTCCCCTCCCCCTCCTCCCTACCCCTCCCTTTGCCTTCTCCTTCCTCCCTCTGCTCCTCCTCCTCCTCCTCTGCTGCCTCTTGCCTCTGTTTTAACCCTCCACAGACCTGTCCTAAGCCACTAGGCCTCCACCAGGATGGCCGGGGTTGTGAGGCCTTGGTTCCTCACAGTGTTCCTGCCTGTCTGCTCTTTATCTTCCTGCTCTTAAACCCCCTCTCCTGGCTGCCCTGTGGCTGGGAACCATGTGACTGCTGGTGAGAAGTCTGGGCTTGATTTGTAGACAATCGAATTTTTCTCCTTGATGTGGTTATTCTGAGAGAAAAAGGGTCTTGATCTGTGGTTCATACTGACCTTGAACTCACTATGGAGGCTGGCCGCACACTCAGCAACCTTCTGCCTTAGTCTCCTGGTGCTGGGATTACAGGCATGCACAACCACACCTGGCTTCAAAGGATTTGTGAATTCCGTGATTCCTTTGGATCCAATTGAAAGTTATGACATGAAATTTTTATTTCAATGACTATTTTTAATTCCCAAAATTTTAAATGGTCAGGTGTGGTGGCACATGCTTGTAATCCTAGCATTTAGAAAGCTGAGGCAGGAGGATCACTGAGAGTTCGAGACCAGCCTGGCTACATAGCAAGACCCTGTCTTTCAAAACCAAAGCAAAAAAATTTAAAATGGCTCTTCTTCC